GTTAATGAATCCCAGCAAACGCCCCCTTACGACTTCCTACGCCAGTATAAAAGACACGTGTACGCGTAACAAATGTTTTGGTAAACACTACCAAGCACACCTCTTTAATTGAGGGAAATTGGTCCAATTTTATTCGCAATCCCTGTGTTAAAATTTAGGATTTCCCTCGCATAATAGTGCATGTTTTCATCAATCGACTCTTCTTCTACAGCTAACGATGATATTAACTTGAACTGTTTCATGTGAAGGATGCCTTCTAATGAGAAATCAGAAGGCGGCTGACGATACTGGTCTCACTTAAAACCGATTAAAACCGATTGAAGAGAAATCGGAATCAACTGTGGCTGTGTTGGGGAAAGTTGCAGCCAATGTTAACCTTGTACAGACCGTAGGCATGATCCAATTTGAACAGGCTGAGTACCTTGGTGCAAGCCGATTGTGCTGCAATATTATCGGGGTTGAAAAGCAACCCAATTCTTCAACAATGGATCCAACCTAATTCATGTTATGTAGTGACTGTATGGTGCATTCAATTAATACGTTTATATACTTTTAAGTATGCTGAAAATTCCCTAGTAATGGGAAGAAATACATGTACGCTATTGATTGTGTTTGCTTTAGTGTTTGATGGTTACCCTAGTGTAGTGGACACGACACATCACGTTTCTCTATATCTCTGATTTAAAGCTCATCTCATCATTTTAAGGATCTAAACATAGGGTTAGTGTGTTAATTATCAAATAGGTTCAGCTTGTGAAATCGTGCACCACATGTCTGGGTGGTGTCTGGATAGTGTCCTCGGTCATAGTAAGATACCATGTAGAAACTTACTACGGCCGAAGACGCCACCCAAACATGTATTTTTTCCTAGATTCTAGAATCTTTGTTGTTCCTAAATTTCGACGCCTGGTCCCGTGACTGTTTAGTCAATCGTCCAGCAAACCCTCTTCACGTACATGTATCTACACGGACGGTGTTGCTACACTGAATTTAGACGGGCAAAAATCAATTAAGATTCTTCTTATCTACAGTACATGTGTCCTGGCTTTGGTGTGCCAGACAGATGGTGAATTCCTCACCCATCATCTAGGGTAATTTATGTTATCTTCGGTTTGGTGTGTGCAAAATACAAAATTAAAAGTCAGTCTTTTGAAGACAATTCTTTATTTAGGGATTGTGGGACTTCGTGTATTCTTGGCAAGGTAGTTTGTAATATAGGTCTTATAATTTTGGTTTTGAAAACTGAAAGCAGAACCAAAGTTGATGCATTGAAATTACAATATTTATATCTTCAGAAGAGCACTGCCTGTTCAACGAAAGCAATAGCTTTATGCACAAGTCGCATCCGCAGATATGACTGTACATTGTACTGCGAATCGTCCCATGAATACCCTGTTAGGAGCGTTTCAAGTAGTGCGATGCACCACACACCACAGGAGCTGAAATCTTGCTGAGTGCATCAGTCAACCTTCGCGTACATGACGAGCTTCCATCTCTAGTATGACTTCGATCACCGTGCCGACCTTCTTCTCGATGATTGTGGCGTTCCGTTCACTCTGCAGTGGATCGAACATGAAACAAGTCGCCTTGTTCGTCACTGCATCCAGCTGTTTATTGAGAAGTTTCTGATATCCGGGAGCCGTTTGCAGATATGACACACGCCACAAAGGTATATTCACCAAAGGCAGCGGGGTTTTCGGAGCTCTTTGCGTCAGAGGAAGCCGTTCGACTCAGAGACACACACTGGGTTCTATACCGAGAACCCAACACACAGTCCAAAGGTCTAACACTGGCAATTCCTTGCAAAAGACAAACTGTATTCTTGCGGCCAAGGCACTCACGGGGCAAACACCTGCACCTCACTATGCTATAGTTAACACTACTTCTAGCAACATGTGGCGCCGAGGACCCTCACCTCTACAGAGGTAGTCTTCTGTGTACACCACACAAGAAGGCTAACTTCACGTGAAACCCCGTTACACTCTCCCCTATCAAGACTACGTTCACAGCCGTTGGAACTTTGCCTCCACTTGAGGGCACTCCGCATCTCTGCGTGGGTTCTTCCTAATAATTCCTCTCCACGGCACACTCTCGATTCAGCTGCCAGGCACTCAGACCAGCCGTCGCAGTCACCGCGCGAGAGTGCATCATCGTTAGGGCCGGGTCCATCGACGTCACCCCTCCATAGCGGAGTACGGTGAGGAGTACGAGCGCCGACACGGCACAAAGTCTATTGCTTCTTCAACACCAGGTCGCAGACAGACCAACGATCAACTTGACCTGAATGACCCAGTCACCAGTCCGTGGGCGTGAGTCAGGCTCGCCAGAGCGCCAAGGGTTGCGAACGCCGAATACCTTTCCGGAGCGCTCCTCACTTGAGCAAGGAGAGCTCGCCATATCCAACGTGATTAACAATCCGCTGGATGAGGCTCAGAGGCTGGAGTTGGAGCGGGAGCTCCATCGGCCTCACCGGCCCGAGGACCTTCCGCGCTTGAGCGAAAAGAGTGCGCGACAGGAGCATCGCTTCGTGATCGACTCGGCGAAAGCAGGTGACGACGCGGTCAAAGACCTCCTGTCGCCGTATATCATCGGGCCGCTGGCCATTACAGACTCTCAAAGAGTCCAGCGCGAGAAGCATGCGCGAGCCTCACCTGACTCCACAGGCTACTACCAAGGTGAACGTCACATCGACCAAGATCAGGGCAAGTCCGTGCCCGAGATCAACACGATTGCTGTGGTCCTACGACCGGGAGAGAGCCTCGATGAGGGGGACGCGCGTTTCTAGAATTCGGTGGAGCGACTGCAGAATTCATGCTGAACGAGCCAGCTTCAGCAAGCAGTATATTTACTTTGAATGGCGCATGCGATTCAAGTTCGCGAAAACCGAGGTCAGTGACCTTCTTCAGCAGTATCACCTGCAGAAACGGTCAAAAGGACCAACGCTCGAGTATCCAGCGCGTGTTCTGACATATCGTCAACACAATATAGTGCCGGGAAGCGCGATCCATCTGACGACACGCCTTCGAGCATTGCGGGCGCTTCGGGGTTGCTGAAATAAGCGACAACGGCGTCAGGGCAATCCTGCCGAAGTGGAGTCTGAGGATGGTAACATCCCATACCATTTCACCAGATACTGGGTTTGACCCTTGCACCGACGGCCCTTCAACAGCATCTCCAATAGGTAGTGGTGCTACCCATGCTCGTCGATCAACGCCGGGGGGGGCGGCGAGCCGCCGCTGGATCGAGATTTTTAGCGTTTAATAACATTTTATCTTCAAGCTCAAAGATCCCTAAATTGCCTCGGCTTCTGGTATCCGCTTGTTCCTTTTGAACATATTGGCGTTCAGCCATCGCGTCACGTATGCGACGTAAGACACTAAGGCGTGTCGACAGGAAATCATCCACTTGCTTCAGCAGTGCGGTAGTGCTGATATCTTCCTGCCCGTCGACTTCTCCCCCATCAAACCCAAAGTCACGTCGTGACGGGGTCACCGGAACGCGCGGATGCTGCGTGTTTTTTTACATAGAACGGAGTAAGGTCTGTGAAGGTATGCACTGCCCTATTCGATGTGAACTCAACGAGTGGGAGCATAGCGCTCCAGCGCTTTGGCGTCTCTGCGCAGGTACTGCGAAGCATGTCTTTGACAACGCGACTAACACGTTCCGTTTGACCATCGGTCTGTGGATAGTCTGCCGTGGACATATTCAACCTCGTGCCCAGCACTTCAAAGCCTTTCTGTCAAAAGTAACTTGTAATACGATAATCTCTCTCGATCAGAAACAATTGACTCAGGAAATCCGTGTTACGATCCAAAAACAGCTTACCGTACCTTCCCGTCGATAGTATCCGGCACATCCGCTAAGTGAGCCAACATATTCTATCAGTCAACGAAGGCCACCACGCCAGTGTTGCCATCCGAATCCTCCGGAAGGCCTCCATGCTCATGAACTGCCAACATCCCGAAGGGACAGACAAGCTAGCCAAAGGCGCTGAATACTGTAAAGAGGGCTTGACCCGTTGGCACGTCTCACATGTACTCAGGTATGTCTTCACCAACTTGTATAGTTTGGGCCACCAATCGTGTCTGCTCACAGAACTGTAGGTCTTCTCGCGACCAAGATGGTCAGTGATGGGTGACTCGTGCACCATATGGAGGTTCGGTACTTAAACTCCTCATCGTGAGGGACCATCACACGAGGTGTGTCTTCGGGATCTGTGCTGTAGTACAGCAAACCTCCATCGAGGGAATATCGATGTAATCGACCGCGCAATCGCGCAGACAGCTGGCAATCAAAGTCATTAAACTGAACGCTCCCGAGAGAACGTAGCAAAACTATACAAGCATCATCGGGTGCATACGCAGCTCGGATGAGCTCTGCGATTGACGAAGTCACGTTCGTTACATGAGCCAGCTCATAGTCGGGTCGATGTGATAGAGCATCGGCCAAAGCATTCTGCTTGCCGGGTTTGTACTTCACGTCGAAGTTATACTCCGCAAAGAAGGAGAGCCAACGCGCCATTCTCTGAGAGAGATGAGGCGACTGTGTTGCAGTACGCAACGATGCGTGGTCGGTGTAAACCACAAATGGCTTCGAGCCAAGCTAGTGAACCATGAACTTCACCAGGGCATACTTCATCGCGAGAAGTACTTTGTCATGGACAGGGTAATTCTTCTCGGCGCCACGCCGCCGAGATCTAACGCGATCACGTCCATCAACGTCGGCTTGCAAGAGAGCACAACCGATCGGAAAATTCGGAAGCGTTATAGACGACACTAAATGGACGATCAGGGTCCGGCAGCAAAAGTATCGGCTTGTAGCAGGCTTTCTTTGACTGCCTCATATACAGCTTGCTGCTTGGTGTTCTAACACCACGACATATCCTTCTTAAGGAGATTCGACTATGGCCTCGCCATATCAGCGTAATTATCGCTATACTTGTGAAGGTAATTGGCAAGGACAAGCCACTTCCTCAAGTCTTTCAGGTTCATGGCAACCGGTCAATCCACAATGGCTCTAGCCTTAGCGGGATCCGCTCGAAGACCACGCTTCCCAATGAAGCACCCCAGAAAAGAGACCTCTTTCGCGCCAAAGATGTACGTATCCGCACTGGCGTACAATTTGTTCGAGCGCATGCACTCGAGCACCGCTCGCAAATGGTCAACATTGTTCTCCAAATCCGACCTCCCGAGCTCCGCACGATGGACAAAGCTGTCATCAAAGTACGTATGTGCGTAAGCCCGACGGTGCTCAAACAGCTGCGTCACCAGAAGATTGAACGTCGCCGGCGGGATCGACAGCCCTTGGGGCATCACCAACCATACCGCTCGGAATAGTGACCGCGGTGAGCGGGATATCACTAGCTCGCATGAGCAACTGGTAGTAATCAGCGACCATGTCGAGCGCGCTGTACATTGTGCACCCAACCATGTTGATCTGTAGAATATCCTTGCGAAGGATTGGCGTTTGAGTCAGGATCGTAGCTGCATTCAGCTTGTTAAAAGCACGGACGATGCACCACTTGCCATTTGGCTTTCTGACATAGAATGTTGGCGTTGAGAGCGGAGACTTGCTCTCACGCATTATCCCAGCTTCGTGCTTGGCACGGAAGAATGCGTCAATGACGTCACATTGCTCTTTAGGAAGAGGCCACTGCCGAGGTACGCAGTATTGCGTTCCTGGAACCAAATCAATCCCGTGACGGACTCCTCGATCTGGAGGTAGCCCCAAAGGCGGTGGCTTTGACACGACGTCACCATACTCAGTCAACAGTGAGTGAAATGGATCCAAACGATCTTTGAGGTTCTCATATCCGCTACGCGCGTTCAGCGCCTTCTTGGTGTCCTCTATGATTGGTTCGTCAACCACCGACGACAAGTTGCGTTGTTCTTCAGGTCAAATCATGACCAATTCGGCTAAATCGCCAGCCTTTAGGCCATCACCAAAATCAGTCAAGGACATCTCGTCCAGCTCTAACAGATCATTACAAGACGGCAAAGTGTACAAACTGATATTGCCATCAACTTCACCCGTAACTCCATTCACGAGTGCGTACAACTGCTCACTGCAGTCACGTGGAGCCGTAGCTCTCAACACGATGGACACCTCATCCGATGAAGATAATGTTTCAGACGCCGTGCATCTCATCCGCATCCTCCTCCGCGGCCGAAACCGACGAAACCGATGAAGATAACGTTTCAGACGCCGTGCATCTCATCTGCATCCTCCTCCGCGGCCGAAACCGGGTGGACGAGGGCGTCATCGCAAAAGCGTCGCCGCTACGGCCAAGTGAAGAAGCACTTACGTTCCCTGAGGAACCGGTGTCAGGCAGGACACCCGGCAATACTTGACCTTGATCCGGTGGATTACACGCCACCCCATGCGTTGACAGAACGTCGACAGCGCTCAAACGAGCACTCTGCAACTCGCCATTCGGTCATGCCTACTCCACGGAGTACGTGTCACTGCACAATCAATATTCGGGCCACGCCTAATAACACTTGGCGGATGTCTAACTGTGCATTGCGGGACTAACACAGGATGAAGGTCCTCGACAATGTCGATCACAATCTCAGTCACAATGACGTCCCACAGAGCGGCCGATTCGGTCCAGCTCTCGCGCCAATAGACCTTCTGCGTCCTAACAGAGGTGGGTTCATGTCTCACCAAAGCTCCACCAGGAGAGAAGAGCGTAGCACCTAATGTTTCGATCTCCAGTCGCTCCATGGCTCGTGGTGCTCCAGCCACGCCATACCAAGGATGAGTTCATACTTCTGATCAAGGTCCAAGACCAAACAGCGTTCCATGCTGTCAAAGTCAAGGAACATGACACACAAGTCCAATGAGACCTTGGGTTCCGTAAGATGGACATCCGTCGTGAGACGAACAGTGACAGTGTCACGCAATGCTCTTGCCGCGCCTCAGGACATAGCTGACTTCCTTCCGCAGTGGAGCGCCGCACGTAATTGCCCTACGCTTCTGAATCGATCAATACGATCTAAGGCTTTTCAAATTCTCAACAACCAGCAAACCTGGCTTGTGTTCCCGATCCGTGTTTGAGAGTACGGCTCTCTTCGGAGTCAAGCCCTGCTGTCCACTACCTTGTTGGGGTTCAACAGAACTTAGTTCTTCCCCAGCAAGGGGTCCCACGCCTACTAGAATTAGCCGTTTCCCCGCGACGAATTAGTGGCCTGACCGAAACGGCCTTACGCGCTTTGCGCAACGGCCATCTCGTCCTGATATGGTCTGGGCTACCGCAGGAGTACCGAAGGACGTTGTCCAGAAGCTCGTAGCTCTGCTACTTCGGCGCGGAGCGCTGCCACCTGCTCCTCAGCAGAGCTAAGATCCATCGGCTCCGGACCTTCCGGTATACTCGCCGACAGCGCACTCCAGCTCGCATGAGCCGACTTGAAATTATATTCGCATTTAATGCCACCGTTACGGCCTCCCCGAACTTGGCGGGCCGGCTACCGAAAACTTCCGTGCGGGCCAAAAAGAGACCCCATGGTGTTGACTGTCTTGGGGAGGGGATCGGAAAACATGCCGGCGATGAGCGTACGTAGCTCTTGAACAAAGCCAACAGAATCGTTTTGTCTTGACGACATGCCAAGAAGCGTGAGCGCACGCGGTAAACGTGGTTCGGCGGTAGGAACACCAACGACAGCTGTTGCTTAAGCGCTGCCTACATCGGGAAAGCACCGTCGACCGCCGACCCGCTCGTGAGAGTCCACTAACGCGCTCGCTCCTCACGTCATCGCATCGCTCGCAAGAATACATGGCGTGGCTTACCGCCCCGGCGCGAAACGCCGAGGCTAGCGAACGGGAGTCTTGTGTGTGGCCGTATCGACAGAGGGTAATGTCGACACGTCGCCCTCGAGTAAGTTATCAAGTCCATTTTTGGATAGTGATCGGGCGGCGCGCGCTCAAGGTGATCTGCTGATTTCATATTCTAGTCGGTCGTCTGTATAGACTTCCATTTCATATTACATGTAGCTGTTTTTCTGAGGATATAGTAATCGCCCTGACTCGATTAATTAGATTATTGTGTGGGTGGTTGGGTCCGGCTAGAAACTGCATTGTTGTAAGTGGTAGTCTGGAAGGGCACTTGTGGATATTTCGTGGTTAAGTGTATTTGTCTTTCCAGAAGTGGTTATATACCTCTTTGTGGGAAGTGGTGCGCGTATTGTTTGAGAGAGAAGGACCAGTAGAATTTGACTAGTACAACTTTACGGAACCAAATGAGACTGGTGAGCGAACGACCCTTACACGGTCCAAAAGAATAAGTAAGGGCTACATATTTGTATAATTCTCTGTATATTTGTATTCTCTCTCTGGAAACGTCTTCTTCATAGTACACTTACAGTCACTGACACGACGTTTAGAAGTAACGTTTGGGCCAGTTCCCTGTTGTACTTCGTTATCCAAAAGTCAGCTTTGTCGATTCGATGAATCACTTGGTACCAAATTAAGACGTCCCATTAGGGGTTCCACAAGGCCTTCCCAAATAGTGTATTCACTTGTCCATCTGAATTACACCTTTGGAGAGTTCTGATCCCCAAACACCTTTTGGTAGTTTGCTAAGTATCTGGGTGTTGTGCTATACACCCGAGCTATTCAGACGTTCACCCGCCTCATGTCAGATACATGTCCACAGATATTTCAACGTGCTTAAAGCAAAATTCTCCGATACTCCGATTATGCGTCACCTCGATTCGGATCGCTGAGCTACTATTGTCGTTTACACCAGTGCCTGGACCATTTCGGGGTCACGGATGCAATAATGTAACAAGGTCTACTGTCCTGTGATGTTTTCAATTCGCACCCTGAAAACAAAGGAGTTCAATTACGGTATTCGGAAAAGTGGTGTTAGTCTTCTTACGGATCCTGGATCTCAGTAAAACGTATTTGTTGGACGTCCAATCCTAGTTTTGACCCGACACTCTACATTGGTATGGCACGTCAGATCAAGCAAGGACACTTAGGTCAATGAGCCACTCTGCTATCGTCATGGACACTCGAGATCTCTAAGATCATCAAAAGAGATGATGAGGTTTAGGAGCGCTGTGCGGTTAGTATTCGGCGTAGGTTCGAGGTGGTCAATGCATTAATCTGTATTTCCCAAAAAGGAACTTCGACACAAGATCTTAGCTCCGATACTCACTGTCAGACGTGATGCAGATCTGTATACGGATAGTTTTAACATATCGACTCGTGTTAATAGGGATGGAGGCACATACAGTGCGAATATGTGGAAGTTACCCGAATGGAGTGTGCTGAAAGCCTGATCCGGTTATGACGAAGGCTTGACGGAGAACGAAGTGGAATATCATGACCTTTTGCTGTGTTTGGATCAAGTGCATAACCTGGGTCGACGACGCCTGGAGATCTGCGATGACTCGAATTTAGTGTTTCGACAAGTTTGAGGTACAATTGACTATAAGGTAGCAGGTTTGACATTGCTGCGACAGGCGACTTTCGATGGAGTGCGGAGCTGGCCAGATCACGAGTGGTTATATGTCAAACGAGATTAGAATTGAAGTACCTGGTGCAGTTTGCAGTGATAATTTGGGGTCGAGGTTGAGTCGGAAGAGGAGGTCCAGGTTCTTGTTATTTTGAACCGATTGGATGAAATATTGGTAGTGAAGACGGAGGAAGAGATCAAACATGTGGCTGCTTTGACGACTCGATCTCGAACTAGATTTCGAGTGTGAACCGGGCCCAATCCGTCCTCATTGCGTGATGAAGTTGTCGGGTCGAGAGGATCGAGCAAACGCAGAACTAAGGAGTTGGACGCTGGGCTGAAGAAGCATCTGGTTGGGAATATCAGAGAACTAACACAAGACGAGGCTAAGATGTTTACATCAATGATGATGGATAACGATGTGGATCTGTTTGAACTCATTCCCATTTCTAGTGAGCCCGCCGCGGGTCGAGACAAGTTGATACGACTGGTAGTACCTGAAACTCTTCGACACGTTATCCTACACCACTACCATACAAGCTTTCAAGGTGGCCATCAAAGAATCGGTCAACGTATAATCGGACCACTTCCACTGAAGAGGGCTGTATAACATTGCACAGCGATATGTCGGAGAGTGTGTTGACTGTGAAACAGGAAAGCGACGGCATTGGATCCCGATTGAGTTACCAGATAACCTTCAGACGACGATCCCACTACAGATCATTACCATGGATCACATACCCTCGCTGCCAAGATCTCACAATGACAACAAGGAACTATTGACCGTTGAAGATCTATTCTCTGGATGGGATTGTAAAAGCCAGTGCGTCACGATCAGCGCAGTAGATCGCCGAACCGACGAAGAATACACCTTCCGCCGATTTGGCGCTAATGAAGCGATCCTGTATGACCGAGAGCCCGGATATATGTCTGACTTCTTTAAGGCCTCCAACAAGATATTAGGTCATCGGTAACGCGCTACTAAGACCTACCAAACCCCAAGCCAATGGAGCTGCTGAGCGAATAGTGCTTAGAATGCATGTGCAAATTCTGGATCAACGTGAATAGGATGAATACGCCCAACGACACACTTTGGAGATCAACACGACAAGGAATCGGTTCCGTGGTGAGACCCCTTTCGACATGGTACATGGCTGGGACGCTAGAACTACTCTCGAAGCGGTGACCTCGGTAGGAAGTACCTGCAGATACCTTCGGGATCCGAGAAGGTGGCGATATCAGACACAGAAGTATTATCAACAGCCCCGGAAACAATTCAACCAACACCCTCGTATAGCTATTGCAGATTCAGCCGACACACATATCGTTCTGATGCGCCCATTCACAGCAGAAACTGAAGCGAGAGGTTGACTGTACCTGGAACGTGATGTATATTCGAATAATTTTGCACATTTGTGGCAAGGAACCTTTCGAGGGGCTGGAATCTATCCAATATCAAGCCTGTCAGAAACTTTCTGATCAGCTCGTACCTCGACTGATAGAGCCATATGCTGACCAATTTGACTTCGATGAGTACATTTGCCTGAAGGTAGTCGGGCCCAAAATCACGACCCTGGTGAGTATGAAGTGAACAAGATCTCCGATATGAGGACTGGAAAGAGGACAAGGTTTTGCCGAATTTATCGAGAATTCTTGGTACTGTGGTGAAGTGGATCCGAAATTCCAATTGAATAAGATTGATTGATTGATTGATTGATTGATTGATTGACGGAAATGCAACGAGGGCACTATCCGGAATAATGACTACATATCCGGATCCTGCATGAGGATCGATGGCTAGTGGTGGGCCTGCATATATGGAGATATGTATCTGGGAGATATGGACATCAAGATGCCACCGAGGATCCGGAATGAGAATGCTCGGATCCGCGGGTGGGGAAAGGTTGCGGGTACCTGGAAAATTTGCGGATACGCGGAGCCGGACCGCAGTGAAATAGCATGATAGCGCTGGATCATGAACGTATTGAGGGGCTTCTAGAGACTACGGATCACGAGGTTAGGATGACGATCAAGAAGGTCAAGTGAGGATCCAGATCCAGCGGATCCGACTTTGGTGTGTCGACAGCAGATGATTACGCGCAGATCATGAGAGATAGCAGCTGTTCCCATAGAAGCAGTAATCAGACATGCGGATCCTGTTTTGTAGAGGTAAAACAGGCTAAGATATAGGACTTAGGAATAGGGAGAACCGAATTGGCATCATCGGGCGCAAGTTGATTGGAACCACTGCGAGGAAGCGCATACTGGCCTCCCGTGACAGGCACGGCGGGGAAGCGCATATTGGACACCAGTGAGAATGGTGACGGAGCGTACATTGACCAAGCAAGATCCACGACTGCTTCGCGTCCCTGAGCGGTATCTCAAGACCCCATTTGAAAGGAAAGGAGAATCGAATTTGCATCATTGGGCACAAGTGGTTGGTTTCTTTATTTGAACCGCACGTAGTGTGTTACGGACACCTAGGTACAGAATATTACATTGGCCCTACAAGGTGATCCACGTGCTAAGGATATAGGATCTAGCGTTAGTTTGGATAACTGGATAATATATTGGACGGATCCCACTATCTAATGACTAATTCTATACATGCAAGCTCAGGGACCTACGGCATTTATTGCTTGGTCGTCGATATTTGAACTCTTACTAACAACCCAAGATTCAGTCATCGCAGACTGCAAGCAAGTAAAGGGATCTCAAGATCACGAACTACAAAGGCCTCACGGATAACACACCAAGGCAACCCAACACGGCCTAGATCCAGATCCGGCCACCGGTGATTTGCACTCGAAAATTCGTGCAGACCCCGGATCCCCACAACTGGCAGCAGAGCGAAGACTTCCGTACTGCTAACCATAGCCCTGTGTCTCGCCAAGACGCTCGATCTTCATTCACTTGGAAATTTGCTGCAGTTACAGGAGGAGCAAGATCCAGCCCTACCAACGGGTACAGAAGGTGAGGAAGCTCAGCTAATCACGGATCATAGGAGTACCCCCTCATTTAGCCGGTGTCCTGGGCACAGTGACAAGCGGGATCTAGCATCTTCGCTGGTTTTGCTGATCCCGCTCCATCACAGTACATTGGTGTGGCTACGACAATGAGCGAAGAGGATTTCAGTTGTGTAGCTTTGCTCCCTGCGTTCTTGCGGAATTGCACGAACCAGAACAGATTCGACGTGATGCAGTCTCACGAGGAAATGTGAGCCCTGGATCCGCACCAGTGAGGTAGTCCCTAGTGTGGCGAAGGAAGATGAATGATCTACAAGGATATTGCATATTGGTGTAACGGGTCACATACGAGGGATACATACGTATTTAGCGAAATAACAGCCATATATGAATCCGAGATCTATATTCTAAACTATTGGTTATACGGTCTAGGAATCCTAGGTCGAATGGAACTTATTGGCTAAACGCTGGGTCTGACGGGCGAGATCTTCTCGGGGTAGTCGCAATAGCGATCGTGCCAACTTTCTTCAAAGTCGCATTCAGTCAACACTGCGAGCAGACCAGCCGGTTCGGCGGGATTGAGCTCAGAGTTGACCAAGTTAGTGGATTGGGAGGTGATTCCAGGGTACCAGGCATGGCATCCGAACGTTTCGGAAACCAAAAGAAGAAAGAATCTAGGAGAATATTCATGTCAAAATATCTCTCCGACAGTAGATGTCAGGATCGATTTCCTCGCATTTTCTATGTACGACCGATCGTTTTATCCGATCGGATCAGTATCGATTGAGTACTGAATCAGATTTGCGCATTTCTCCGGATATGATTGGTTGTCTAATAGGTATGCAGTGCTTGGTACTCGAAATTGCGGTTCACTTTATTGTTTAGGGTTTCAGTATCAGGTACATATATTGGAAAATAAAACGTAGGAATGAGAAGTTCACTTAGTTCATGCTAGTAGATTAGGCCAATTTTTAAAAACCTTACAAAATGTGGTCTACGTAAGCAACCACACAAGAGGTAGTCTGTATGGGACAACACTACATGTATAATGGTATCATACGTAAGCGTATGTACATCGGAGATGCTTACTTCGTATTTAAGTATAATACATAATATACTATTATTTATTTGGTAAATAGTTGAGTATTGAAAATAAATTAAGGAACTGTCTTGGGGCACAGAGTAGAATCTTAGTTAAACGAATCGATACAGTATGCAACCGGTAATTTACGCCAATAAAATAATGACGTGGTGAAATTTCAGAAATCCAGATTTGTTAAAAGTCACATCCCCACTCCCCCCTTTCTTCCTTCCTCCGAAATCAAACTGGCTCGTTCATTTAAAATCCACCCCGCCGCGCTCCGATGAAGACTACACGACGATTGACCTTTTGATAAGCATCCATGCACTTGTGTATTTAATTGTTGTGGCTCTTTACTAATGCGTGCCTGTTGATACGGAAAATGGGAGATAGCGAGCCTCAAAGCAAAGTCCCGCCTGAAGGTGTGTAGACATGCGCTCCTGTGACAGCAGAATGAATCAAAGACTGGAATCATTTTCGCGCCTATCTCGGCAAATGCCAGCAAGACACGTACCAGATCTTTCGATATCGCACGTCCACGTCTGGTCTGTGGATAAGAGGAACGCGGAGATAACAGCGACCTACAACCGGAGAGTGCGTGGTCAGTCTTCTACCCGTGATGAACTAACTGCGCGTGGCAAATCTCTTCCGCGTGGTGCATCATCTTCTCGTGTTGTAGGCTCCGAAGCCGATGCGTAGAGGCTCATTCCGTTGGAGCTCAAACCGTTTGGACGAAGCTCGTATGCACGCATGGTTGGGATCTAAAGAACCGCGTCATGGTCATTCGTAAGTCCCACTGCGATTGCGGTATAGGGTACCACGCCAACATCAAGACAGCGGTCGCGTGGAACGATACTGAAGGTGTTATCATGGTACGAGTTACCGACTATGACATCCGTCACAACCACGCTGTCTCTAAGGCAACGTGTCAAAACCACGTGTCCAACTGTCAAGTACAAGACCCCACAGTACTTGCCTTTATGGTGAGCTCCTGATCTGCCAAAGAACTGCCGCCAACGCAAGTGACCGCGCTTGCTACCCCAGCTCCTGTGCGGCTAGGTACAGATTCCGCTAAGACTAATGTACTCACGAAGTACCTATAGCCACAAACAACGTGATTCATGGTACTGCAGAAGTGCCTCTAGTCCCAGTAAGAGTGGCTCTAGCAACAAAAGTGCTTAACAGTACGATAGAAGAGTCGCAAGTTGTAGAAACCATCTCAAATTGGGAACTGAGGCTCCGCTACCTGCTCAAATGTCTACCGTAGAAAACCGTTGGACTGTTGATAGCTATATCACGTAATGGCAGTCGTTGTTTCTTACTATTTCAATCAACATCATACAATATCTTGTAATGGTATGGAGCGTTTGCTTCATTGTGTTGTTTGCTAGTGAGCTCCTAAAAACGACCACACAGTGGTCAAGCTGAATGCTATGATCGGTTGTCAAATTGCATTCTTTGCTGCTGCAATACTCCTAAAAAGGAGCACGCAGTGGTCAAGCTGCAAACTAAACCAGTGCGACATATGCTGGTGTGTCGCGCTCACGGTGGCATGATTCGAGTGGCACATGCCACTGTAAGCGTGACGCACCAGCACCTTGATGTTTTGGGTGGTCAACTTGCACGTTGCCAAATTTCTGCTAAGTCTTTTGTACATTCGAACAACCTGATTGCATGCACGTGTCATAATCCAAAAGGACTCGTACAACTTTCAAGCAACATATATACGACAGCTCACGAGAACCAGCCACTCGAATCTCTACAAACCCTGAAATGTTTGAAATCTATTATGCAAGCTTGGGATATCTTACCGCCCTTTTAGGGAATTGGTCCTCTCGGGTGCGGTAGGTAAGCTGTGTGTACCTAGAGGCACACACATTTCTCCCGCTTAAGTACGACTATTCTGTGACGCTATCATCGTGCATAAATTAATGTATAATACCGGTATATGATTTGTCAACTTGATTGACGAATCAAGTTTTGACAAACATGTATTAGTCCGAAACCAGACTCGATTTGAAATGTTACTGTTACCAGCAGTGTTGTGGTTTGTCCAGCTCTACGGTCTAGATCTTGTCTATCGAGTCGTTGTACTTGTGCTGTTGTTGACACTTTGCAAAAAATCATCACATCACTCAGAAGTTCAACCAGATCGATCAGTCCACTATGATGTCAAGTAGAATTCGTCGTAAGACTGCACGGTGTAGTGGGGCCAACTGTAACAAACGAGTACAAACCCTCAAGCTATGCAAAACTCATAGTTGGGGTGTACGTTGTCGAGCATTCAACTGCGTAAAGTTGGCTCAAAATAGAGTGGTTTGTGT